GTGCGTGGGGGGAAGCAAAATCCTTTGTCCTACTCTGCCACCATCTTCCTAAAGCTCCCCTGATTACCAGTGTTTTGAACTGTGCATCTGAATGGTTGGCTATCTCTTCATTACTTAGTTGTATTTATTCTGGAGCTTTGATTTGTTTTTTCATTTGGGGCATATTTCTTTGTCTCAGTGTACCTGTTATGTTGTAAGGAGCGGAGCCTTAGGTGTGTTCAGCAGAATGGGGCAATCTACGTTGCTGTGTTGTAACACTATGTGGGGAGGGGTCTGACAGGGAACAATGCTGCCTGCTCAGCTTTTGGCTGGCTTTCAGTCACTTCCTCCCCTACCCACAAGCAAATTGGGCGTTTTTGGTGCTGATTCCCAGGTGGGTGGTTTTGTGTACGTTTTAGGACCCTGTGGGTCTCTCCAATGAACTGTCCTGTGAGGCTAGGAGTTTCTCCTGCTGCTGTCTCAGCCCTCACAGGTTTTTTTCAGTCAGAGGTTTTGAGGCTTTGTTTCCCTACTCTGGATCCCTGGGTTGCTCAGTCTGTCTTGCTTCCCTGTTGTTCCTCCTGGTTTATCCCTGTGCCAATAGGAGACTGCCCATTCTGCCAGCTGCCAACTTGCCAAGAGTCCTCTCCACCAGAGCTGCCTGTCTCCACCCCTCCTACCAGTCTGGATGAATGTTTCTTCATTAACTCCTTGGGTGTAGGACTTCCATACAGTTTAATTTTCTGTCAGTTCTGGTTGCTTTTTTGTTGTTAAGTTGCTGTTCTTCTTTTGGTTGTGTGAGGAGGCAAAGTGTATCTACTTACACCTCCACATTGGCTGGAAGTCCAGTTCTTAAAGTCTTAAGGAGTTCTTTCCTAAGTGTCCTTCTCATCTCCCTCCCCTTCCCCAGCACTTATCTCTACCTGTCAAATCCTACTCATTTTTTAAGGGTCATTTCATTGTCACCTTGCCTTTGGAGCCACCTCACTGGAATGAATTATTCACTCTTATGTGTTTTCATAACCTGTATATATAATTTGATTTTCATTTGTTTGCTTATTCTCTCACTCCTCCCCAAACCAAACTTCTACTTTACTATATGCCAGTTTCTGTGCTAGTGAACAAGAATAGAGAGATGAAAAAAACCCTCATTTGTTATTATGGAAGAACTCACAATACAGTGAGAGATATGACATATAAACAACCCATACAAATTATTGAATAAGTGTTGTAATAAAACTATGAGTAAAGTGCTATGGGAATAGGGGAGTAATTAAATCTTCTGAAATGGGTTTAGATATATGTATTTAGGGTTGGGAGGAGTGCGGGCGGAGGAGGTGAATTGGCAGGAAAGCCTTCACTGGCAAAGAATCCCTGGAATGAATCTTTAAGGAGGGATTGGATTTTCCTCCAGGTAGTGAATAGAGAGTTAGTGTTGAAGAGCATTCCAGGAAGCAAGAACAATTGTATACTTATCATCAACTGCTTTGAATTGTTGTTATTGGATACATATCTCTCTTCTGCTAGCCTGCATGTTTCTTTAGATCCTTATAATTCTTTGTATTGCTGTGGTGTTGAATGTCACTTGTCTTTTGTTTCTGATTTTATTTGTTTAGATCAGGGACTGGGTTTTGGTCATTTCTGTTTCCCCATTTCTTAGTTCAGTGTCTAGTATACAGTAGGTTTCAAGAAATATTTGAATGGATGGATAAAGAAAATCAACTTATATTGACTTGGGGCACAATAAGCAATCTATGCAATGATACTCATTGATTATTTGTATACCTTTTTGGAATGATAGATTTGTCTTTAAAGGAATGGTATGATTGCTAAACTGATTGTCCCTCCAAAGCATCTAATTTACCTGGAGGAATTTACTTAGGAGTTAAAACCAGAGATAGATTCACCCAACTAGTAATTCAGTTTAATTTCATTAGCTATTACCTGTTTCTCATATACATATAATCACACATATACAGAAACTTGTAAATTTTTACTTTCAAAGAAAGATCTCACCTTTAACAGGAAGCTAAACAACAAAAACAAACAAGCAAGCAAAATAAAAAACAATGGCACTAAAATAGAGAACAGGGGGACAATGACCAGAGGGGAGAGGGGAGGGAATTTCAGGGGAAAAAGGGGAAGGATTTACAGGAACTAGTAAAAAGGACACATGGACAAAAACTAAGGGGGGTGGAAATGGGAGGGAGCTGGGGAGCATTAACAGGGGTGTGCTGGGATGGGAGTAAAAGACAGAAAACTGTACTTGAATAACAATTAAATTAAAAAAAATTAAAAAAAGAAAAATCCCAGATAATTATTTCTGGTGGCAATCTGGGTTTAAGGTTTGCACTAACAAAGCATGTTGTGATAAGCATCTATTTGGAATCATCATTTAATAGTGCAAAAGTTAAGTCCTGGACTGATTCACTTTCCAGATTAAAAATGAACATCCAGCAATGAACATCCACATTTAAGTGTTTTATGAAAGTAGTCCCATGTCACTAAATAAAGAGATTTTTCATTTTCCCATGAGCGAAGGTAAGTGCTAATGTTTGATAAATGCTCTTCAAAATACCTCACCCAAGTCTGAAGAACCTATCCTGCTATACTGGCTCTATTGTTCCACTTGTGTGGAAACTCCTCAGGAGATCGCTGTGGTTGTGAATGAGTGCCTTCTAGGTAAGTTGATTGAAGATGCGGCACTTGGAACAAAAGTTCATTAGCACTAAAATAATAAAAGATTTGGAAGTGATCATCCACTTTAAGTAGGGATCATTCCATAACTATTAAATCCCTTCCACTGCATTGTTTATGCTTAAGTGATTAACTAGTCAATTACTGAATAAGTTATTTGATCTTGAAGACCACACACACTGTACGTGTAGGTATAGGGTGGGTGATACACCCATCCTGTAGTACAGTTAATTATTTCAAATATTTCCTTTGAAACAAGTTTAGTATGTTTGTGCCATCTTACCAATTACAATATATATATATATATTTTAATATTTTATTTATTTATTTTTACAGAGGAAAGGATGGAAGAAGAGAGGGGGAGAAATATCAATGTGTGTTTGCCTCTCATGTGGTACCCCCTGGGGACCTAGTCCCCAAGCCAGGCATGTGTTCTCACTGGGAATTGAACCAGTGACTCTTTGGTTTGTAGCCTGTGCTCAATCCACTGAGCTACACCAGCCAGGCACAATATATTCTTTTATTAATAAAAAAGCTCTCCTCTGATAATTTACTCTCCTGTAATTCTCTTTCTTATGCCCAGGTTTATGTCCATTGGTTTTTATGCTACTTGTAATTTTGTTACATAGTTTTATGCAAAATTGAGAAAGGATTTTGTCAACAAGCAGAGTAGAAAGCAATCCTGTCTAGTGATCAAGAACATGGATTTGGGTATCATATGACCCTGGACCAGAGTCTAGCTCTACTACTAGTAACTATAACATGCTCATTCTCTCTTTCTTTTCTTTCATTTTCTTTATTGTTGGTTTTCATTCCAGTCTTCTTTCCATATTTGCCATACATTCACTGAACATTTTTTATGTGTAAAGCAACATTTTAGTTGTTGAAAACATTAAGGTGAGTCAAATAGGCCTCATCTTTGGTATTACGAAACTATATTCCACTGCAGGAGGGACACATTAAAATACAAATGAAAATAAAATAATTACATATTGTGGCAAGTGCTCTGAATAAAAACTGGGCTTGATGAGGAAAAAGGCAAATGAAAAAATTAGAAAATGATAGTATCTGCCTGATAGGTTTGTTGAAAATTAAATTAGAAAATGTGGGTAAACAATTTAGCATGGCTTCTTTTTTTACTTTTGAATATTTATTTATTGATTGATTGATTGTTCAGTTACAGCCGTCCTGCCTTTTCCGCTCTTGCTCTCCCCTGCCCCATACCCCCACTCCCATGGTCAATTCTCCCCGCATTGTCTATGCCCATAAGTCCTCTATTCATGTCCCTTGACACATATTGTGTACTTGGTAAGTGGTAATAATAATATGGTAATAGTTAAGATGATAATGATGATGGGGGTCCCAGCCCTTGAAGGTCATAAAATCTATTGAAAGGCACAGAATATATATGAATTATTATAATATACCATATGAATATGAAAATGAGGAACAGATAGTTTAAGTCATCAGCTCAATATCACACAGCTAAAAGTTGTAGAACAGAAACATGAACCTAGGCAGTCCTGATGTCAATACCCATAGTCTGATTTGTGACACTAAACTTCCTCTCAAAGAGCCCATTTACTTTCTCTGTTCTCCTAGCTCACTGAACACATTACTATTATAGCCCTTACTAGATTATATTTTTATCACCTCTTTCTATGTCTATATATCACCCTAGACTCTGGAATCCCTTATTCCTCCTTGTTATTATTACTACCTAGACACCATGTCTCACATGGAATAGATGTTCAATAAACTGTTTTAAATAAATGAATGAAGAAATATAGGAGTATGTATAAGAGAGTCCTGCATAGACATTCTTTTTCCCAGAAGCAGGTGCCAAGCTATTCAGAATGGGACACTACTCTATTGTTATATGAAGATAAAATGTCATTTGGTGTTTTTCTTCTGAGGACAGAATATTAATCATTTTAAATGAAGAGTGTGAGGAAGATCAAATGATGGTAATTCGAGGTATTATAATCCTAACATGCTGATGATATGAAAAAAATCACAATTAAAGAAAAACAAACTCTAAGAACAATAAATCTGGAGATAGTAAGATAATTTTCTTCACAGAGAAATTCTTTATGAGTAAGAAGGAACTGACTGGAATTTTTTGAGAACTTAAGATGATTAAATTTGCTAAAATAAATGTGCATTTAGCTGCCATATTTGTTAATTCCTTGAGGGAAGGCTATATAAACCTCAATTGCTTTTGTAATATTCTACAGTGACTAGCTCAAAATTGGTGCCAATAAGTGTACTTTGAAATAAGTGTACTTTGTAAGAACTTAGCAAGTGTACAAAGTGTGGCTTACCTTCAATGCTTATTTCACAGACCCACATCCACATAAAATTTCTTTGCATTGTGTGGTTCTGAACCATGGACATAGGTTTCTAGTCATTTCTGCAGAAAGAAGATAGTGGTCCTAAGCTGGGTGAGACACTGGACCTTTGGAGTATATGAAGACATATATAAATGGTGAATAATAGTATTAATGACAGTAATTATAGCATTACTAATGATGGTTAAGTTATTGATTACTTGTACGTGCCAGGCAATATTCTAGGCACTTTATGTACATTAACTTAAAACTCACAACAATCTGTGAATTACAACCTCTCATTATTCCTGTCATTATCCCCATTTTACTGCTGAGATACTAGGAACAGATAGTTTAAGCAAGCTGTTCATGGTCATACAGCTAGACTGCAGTGGAGCTAGGGTTCAAACCCAAGTAGTTTGGCTCCACAATTCATGCTCTTAACTATTGCATTGTCCAAAAAGTTCATTTTGTGTTTTCAGTATCATGACTCTAGCAGCACTTAGTTGTCTTAACTTCATTCAAAATAATTTTGTTACATGGTGGGGAGTCCATGTGCTGTGGAAGACTGACAGGTTACTGTTTACAGAGTGGTCTTGGAAATAGCACTAGGAATATCATGAGAAAGGAAAGAGATAAAGGAAAAAGAAGTTTAGAAAATGCTTGCATGGAACACAGAAGAAATCCCCATCTTTAGCATATCACACCCATACAGTAGGCACTCAAGAAGTATTTCCTGTGAAAAACTACAGTACAAGGGCAGGGTTGAACTAAATGACATTGTGCTTTCTGTCTCTGCCTAAAGAAAGGAAACAGCAGGGTAAATCATATTTTGGGTCTGCATTAAGCCTAGGAATCAAGGTTTTTCTGTTTGGTATTTATTGTTCATGAAGCAATATATTGTGCATTGTAGGTGTTATTTTGAATCCCTATTCATTTTCTTTGAAAAGTAACAATCCATCATTGTTTGTGAACAGTGCACTGAAGCCCCGCTCCCTCTCTGACCACGGACGTCACCAGCAGAGATGCCACAGCTTGCATCATTGTTATGTAGGGTTAGAGAGCTCAGGGAGACTTCTGTAAGACAAGGCTCCCAGGCAGTTTAAGAGAGATGACGCTATTAGGCAAGGGCTTTGTCTCCTTCTGAGTGTTACCAAGGAAAGATCAAGGAGACCTTGAGATGTCACAACACATGCTTCCTTGCAGAGGTGAAAGGAAAAAGAAAAGGGAAAGAGAAGGTTTTTATGCTAGCCTATATAGTAGGGAATCATTCTCACATAAACTGGATGTGGTGGGGTGTGCAGTGGGAGATAGTAGTTTGATCCTCAAGGTATGCAGCTGAAAACCTCAGGGTAGGGGGTGCTTTCACAAACTGAGCCTCACTCATCCTGGAAGATTCACTGTTTTAGTCTATAAGCTGGATAGTCATAGAGATAACCACATCCATAGTGCATATTGGAGCAGTTATAAGGATGCTCAGGACTTTTAACTAGATCTATAAGAGGCTAGGGCACTAAGACAGACTTCCAGACAGCAGTTGCAGTGGAGGTGGGAGTATATCAGGGAAGAAGTCCACATGGTTTGGTATGTACCTCTCCAAGGAACACACAGTATATATCTTATATGAATAAAGGCAACAGGCATAGTGGAAGGAATAAAGACCTTGATACCAGAGAGATCTAAAATCAAATCTGGGCCTTATTACTTACTAGCTTTCTGACTTGAGGCAAGTTCCGCATATTTTGTAGCCTATTCATTCACCTGTACTTGGAGATAGTGAAACCTACCTCTCAGATACTAAGCTAATGATAATAATGTTGATTCCTAATATTACCTTAAATTCTTATTATGTACAAAACACCGTTTTTAAGGCTTTATATGTATTAAGTAATCTAATCCTCATAATCCCATGAGATAGATAATATTTATCTTAGACCCAATTTTACAGATAAGGAAAATTAAACACAAAGAAGTTAAGAAGTTGCCCAAGGTCACATATGGAGTTGATGCTGCAGTTGAAATTCAAATTCAGGCAGTATGGCTCTAGAGACCACACTCTTATTTATCATTGCTATATATCATCACTACTGTATAAAGAATGCTGGGCTGGACATCTGACACACAGCAAGTACTCAATCATAATCTTACTCCAACTTCCTTTATCTTTCCCTTCCTTTTTTCCAGTTAGGAAAAAAACTGTTCATTTGCCATTTGGGGGTTTCTTCTCCCACTTAGCTAAAGCCAGGGACCTTCTTTTCTGAGTGGCCTGGCACGGGTTGAAGAATCTCAGGAATAGCCTGTCACTTCAAGGTTTTTAGCTAGATGTGAGCCAGGAGAATAGACTGAGGTTGGATGTAGGGGTCCTGGAATACTGGTAGGTTCCACCACAGGAACCTTGGAGGGTTTCCTCAGTTAGTAAGAGCAGTGACTAACCACACTAGACAGGTTCTCTTAAGTAAGATCCTTAATTCTGCATCCCTGGCTTCTTGGGATTCTGAAATACCAGTGGACTATTACTCCCTCTAGTCTTTAGGACTGTGTCATCACATTCATTCCATATTTCCTCACTTACTATTTAGATAACAACATTGAAAGCATAAATGGGGTGGCAAAAATGCTATCTTAACCTAGCTCTTTTAACATCTGCACTAATTGCCTGTTAAGTCATGTAGTTCTTTTCCTGGTTTTGAAACAGACATATTAATATTTCTGTCAGGATCCCAAATGTTGTAGCTACTGGTTTTCAGCTAGAAAACAATATTTAACAGATCAACTAATTGAATTTCAGGTACTGAGCATGCTCTTTAAGTTAATGGTATGACTAGGGTTGAGGGCAGAATAGAGAAAGAAAAAATAAAAGAATGGGCTCTGTAAGTTCCCACAGCTCTGTGGTCTATGCTTTCCTTATGAGGTACGTTGCATAAGACATGACTTGGAAACTCTGCTGCTACACTGTTGGACGTCTGGCGAGGTCTCTTTGAGGGGAAAAAAAGAATCGTCCTGGGGCTAATTCACAAGCCATTTTTGCTTTAGCCCTTATTGCTGAAAAAATCTTTCCAACATCTTTCGGTCCACTTGTTTGCCATAGAAGATAGAGTACAATGAAGATAAATATAGCATGAACTAGATGTAGAATCAGGAGGGCTGAGTTTGAACTCTAGCTCAACTGTTCACTTGCTGTGTAACAAACCCTTACATCTGTGTCTGTCAAGTGCACTCCCATCATGTATATCAGAATCACCTGAATATTAATTTAACAAACATGTTAAATTCATCACTATTGGGTAATATCAAGGTAAAGAGTCCATGTGTTCCTGACCTTTGAAGGGCTCATATAGTAACAGGAGAGACAGACAGAAAAGAAAAACTTGTATAGTTTGCTAATGGCTAAAAAGAGAGATAAGAAGAAGGAGGATACAGTTACTCTGTTAGGAAGGAGGTGGGACTGGAGGACAAAGGGAAGCATAGAGGAAGTGATAGAAAGCTGTAGAAGGTGACTTTAAGGTGAGTTTTGAAAGATAAGCCAATTATGGTACTGTGGATATCTTAAAATGTGTAGAAGATAAGGCTATATTTGTGTTAAGTATAAAAACTAGCATAGACTTATTTGGGAGGATGAGCATTTGTGGAGAATATTTTCATATCACTTTACTTATTATTCCTCTCTCCTACAAGTAGAATGTTTAAAAATTGGAATCATTTTGTATTTTCCAGTTGGTTGGACTTTCAGAGGATGGCATTAGACTATAATGTTGACTTGCTCTGCAAGTCACTAACTACAAGGCCATGACCTAAGTCAGGAGGGTGGGAGACTGCCCATGACCACTATAAACAAGTTAAGTGTTAAATCCTAATGATAATGGGAACTTTGGCTTGAGAACTAGCTATCTCAAATATTAAGGGCAATGCTATATATACACATAGAGATGCATGAGGCAGTGATTAATGGCTCTGCTTTGGGCTAGCAGGCCTGGCCCCCTTCTAGTTTTTTGTATAGGCAGCCCTACTTGAGTTTTCAAACTGTACCTTAATTTGACAAATAATCAGAAACCTTTAGTATATAGAACTTTGCACTGCTCCCCTCCAACTTCATGTTTTAAAGTGACTTTTTTTTTTCTGCAGCACACTTCCATCAAACTCCATAATGCCTTTGGATAGACCAAGCATGACAAACTCTCAAGCTTTGATGCTGTGTGACCCTGAAAGAAGAAAAACATATCTGAATTCTAACCCTGACCCACCACTTAGCTACATAATGCTAAGGAAGTGATATAATGTCTCTGTTATTCATTTTCCGCATCTGAAAAATTAGGATAATAGCCCTGGCTGGTGTAGGTCAATGGATTGAGCATGGGCCTGCAAACCAAAGGGTCACCAGTTTGATTCTCAGTCAGGGCACATGCCTGGGTTGCAGGCCAGGCCCCCAGTAGGGGGTGCATGAGAAGCAACCACAATTGATGTTTTTCTCCATTTCTTTCTCCCTCCCTTCCCTTCTCTCTAAAAATAAATAAATAAAATCTTTAAAAAATTAGGATAATAATAGTACCTTTCTCATAAGGCTGTGGTGAGGAGTAAAGGAGAAAAAAATGCGAAAAGGTGCTCACTGCAGTGCCTAGCTTCAGTAAGTGGTAGTAGAATACTAGAAATTATTATTAATATATTAACCATAGTGAACATTACCCCTGATAGCTTAGGGAAAACAGGTGCCACTGCAGGTGAAAAGAGAGAAGAGTGTTATAATTCCTTCAGGTGTAAAGAATAGGACAGTACCAGTATGGGGACCAGCCATTAATAATAATGGGGAGTATATTTAAACTAAAAAAAAACAAGATGGCTTCTCTTTAACCAGTTCTCTACCAAGAACACTGTCAGAAAGAAGAGCAGGACTAATTCATATGCATCTCATCTGACTGATGCATTTTTTAAAACAAGTGGTACTGCTAATGAATTCTTTGAAAGGTTTTCTGGTGTTACCCTCTTCCTCCACTGTATATACACCCCCAATCCATCAGATCTGCTGTTAAAACCCAATTGGCATTTTTTCCTCCAAAAATATGGATGGCCTTTTCAGCCACGCTCTTTC